CCCCCCTCCACCCCCCCACCCCTCATCATCCCCTCAACCCTCATCACCTCCTCAACCCTCATCATCTCCTGAACCCTCATCAACTCCTCAACCCTCATCATCTCCTCAACCCTCATCATCTCCTCAACCCTCATCATCTCCTCAACCCTCATCATCTCCTCAACCCTCATCAACTCCTCATCCCTCATCATCTCCTCAACCATCATCATCTCCTCAGCCCTCATCATCTCCTCAACCCTCATCATCTCCTCAACCCTCATCATCTCCTCAGCCCTCATCATCTCCTCAGCCCTCATCATCTCCTCAGCCCTCATCATCTCCTCAGCCCTCATCATCTCCTCAGCCCTCATCATCTCCTCAGCCCTCATCATCTCCTCAGCCCTCATCATCTCCTCAGCCCTCATCATCTCCTCAGCCCTCATCATCTCCTCAGCCCTCATCATCTCCTCAGCCCTCATCATCTCCTCAGCCCTCATCATCTCCTCAGCCCTCATCATCTCCTCAGCCCTCATCATCTCCTCAGCCCTCATCATCTCCTCAGCCCTCATCATCTCCTCAGCCCTCATCATCTCCTCAGCCCTCATCATCTCCTCAGCCCTCATCATCTCCTCAGCCCTCATCATCTCCTCAGCCCTCATCATCTCCTCAGCCCTCATCATCTCCTCAGCCCTCATCATCTCCTCAGCCCTCATCATCTCCTCAGCCCTCATCATCTCCTCAGCCCTCATCATCTCCTCAGCCCTCATCATCTCCTCAGCCCTCATCATCTCCTCAGCCCTCATCATCTCCTCAGCCCTCATCATCTCCTCAGCCCTCATCATCTCCTCAGCCCTCATCATCTCCTCAGCCCTCATCATCTCCTCAGCCCTCATCATCTCCTCAGCCCTCATCATCTCCTCAGCCCTCATCATCTCCTCAGCCCTCATCATCTCCTCAGCCCTCATCATCTCCTCAGCCCTCATCATCTCCTCAGCCCTCATCATCTCCTCAGCCCTCATCATCTCCTCAGCCCTCATCATCTCCTCAGCCCTCATCATCTCCTCAGCCCTCATCATCTCCTCAGCCCTCATCATCTCCTCAGCCCTCATCATCTCCTCAGCCCTCATCATCTCCTCAGCCCTCATCATCTCCTCAGCCCTCATCATCTCCTCAGCCCTCATCATCTCCTCAGCCCTCATCATCTCCTCAGCCCTCATCATCTCCTCAGCCCTCATCATCTCCTCAGCCCTCATCATCTCCTCAGCCCTCATCATCTCCTCAGCCCTCATCATCTCCTCAGCCCTCATCATCTCCTCAGCCCTCATCATCTCCTCAGCCCTCATCATCTCCTCAGCCCTCATCATCTCCTCAGCCCTCATCATCTCCTCAGCCCTCATCATCTCCTCAGCCCTCATCATCTCCTCAGCCCTCATCATCTCCTCAGCCCTCATCATCTCCTCAGCCCTCATCATCTCCTCAGCCCTCATCATCTCCTCAGCCCTCATCATCTCCTCAGCCCTCATCATCTCCTCAGCCCTCATCATCTCCTCAGCCCTCATCATCTCCTCAGCCCTCATCATCTCCTCAGCCCTCATCATCTCCTCAGCCCTCATCATCTCCTCAGCCCTCATCATCTCCTCAGCCCTCATCATCTCCTCAGCCCTCATCATCTCCTCAGCCCTCATCATCTCCTCAGCCCTCATCATCTCCTCAGCCCTCATCATCTCCTCAGCCCTCATCATCTCCTCAGCCCTCATCATCTCCTCAGCCCTCATCATCTCCTCAGCCCTCATCATCTCCTCAGCCCTCATCATCTCCTCAGCCCTCATCATCTCCTCAGCCCTCATCATCTCCTCAGCCCTCATCATCTCCTCAGCCCTCATCATCTCCTCAGCCCTCATCATCTCCTCAGCCCTCATCATCTCCTCAGCCCTCATCATCTCCTCAGCCCTCATCATCTCCTCAGCCCTCATCATCTCCTCAGCCCTCATCATCTCCTCAGCCCTCATCATCTCCTCAGCCCTCATCATCTCCTCAGCCCTCATCATCTCCTCAGCCCTCATCATCTCCTCAGCCCTCATCATCTCCTCAGCCCTCATCATCTCCTCAGCCCTCATCATCTCCTCAGCCCTCATCATCTCCTCAGCCCTCATCATCTCCTCAGCCCTCATCATCTCCTCAGCCCTCATCATCTCCTCAGCCCTCATCATCTCCTCAGCCCTCATCATCTCCTCAGCCCTCATCATCTCCTCAGCCCTCATCATCTCCTCAGCCCTCATCATCTCCTCAGCCCTCATCATCTCCTCAGCCCTCATCATCTCCTCAGCCCTCATCATCTCCTCAGCCCTCATCATCTCCTCAGCCCTCATCATCTCCTCAGCCCTCATCATCTCCTCAGCCCTCATCATCTCCTCAGCCCTCATCATCTCCTCAGCCCTCATCATCTCCTCAGCCCTCATCATCTCCTCAGCCCTCATCATCTCCTCAGCCCTCATCATCTCCTCAGCCCTCATCATCTCCTCAGCCCTCATCATCTCCTCAGCCCTCATCATCTCCTCAGCCCTCATCATCTCCTCAGCCCTCATCATCTCCTCAGCCCTCATCATCTCCTCAGCCCTCATCATCTCCTCAGCCCTCATCATCTCCTCAGCCCTCATCATCTCCTCAGCCCTCATCATCTCCTCAGCCCTCATCATCTCCTCAGCCCTCATCATCTCCTCAGCCCTCATCATCTCCTCAGCCCTCATCATCTCCTCAGCCCTCATCATCTCCTCAGCCCTCATCATCTCCTCAGCCCTCATCATCTCCTCAGCCCTCATCATCTCCTCAGCCCTCATCATCTCCTCAGCCCTCATCATCTCCTCAGCCCTCATCATCTCCTCAGCCCTCATCATCTCCTCAGCCCTCATCATCTCCTCAGCCCTCATCATCTCCTCAGCCCTCATCATCTCCTCAGCCCTCATCATCTCCTCAGCCCTCATCATCTCCTCAGCCCTCATCATCTCCTCAGCCCTCATCATCTCCTCAGCCCTCATCATCTCCTCAGCCCTCATCATCTCCTCAGCCCTCATCATCTCCTCAGCCCTCATCATCTCCTCAGCCCTCATCATCTCCTCAGCCCTCATCATCTCCTCAGCCCTCATCATCTCCTCAGCCCTCATCATCTCCTCAGCCCTCATCATCTCCTCAGCCCTCATCATCTCCTCAGCCCTCATCATCTCCTCAGCCCTCATCATCTCCTCAGCCCTCATCATCTCCTCAGCCCTCATCATCTCCTCAGCCCTCATCATCTCCTCAGCCCTCATCATCTCCTCAGCCCTCATCATCTCCTCAGCCCTCATCATCTCCTCACCCCTCATCATCGCCTCAACCCTCATCATCTCCTGAACCCTCATCATCTCCTCAACCCTCATCCACTCCTGAACCCTCATCAACTCCTCAACCCTCATCAACTCCTCAATCCTCATCGACTCCTCAACCCTCATCATCTCCTCAACCCTCATCATCTCCTCAACCTACCACCACCACCTCTAAGTCTACAACTACTCAGAAACCTACCACCACTTCTGTAATCACCACTACAGCAGGTAATTTTTTTTCTTCTTTGTTTATTTTTTCTGCCATGTGTGTTTTACTGTAGTGTTGCACTGCAGACATTTAAAATCGTATTCTGTTTCTATTTTCTTTCCTTTAAGTCATTGTTTTGGTAATTCTTTTATTTTTCATTACTTTCCTTTTCTGTTCATGTTTTTCTTCATATTTTTTCTGCATCTCCATATTTTATTTTATTAATGTTTGTTATATTTGTCCCATTTTTCTCTCCCAACTCTTTTGTGCCTATCTTTTCACTAAGTAAACACACACACACACAGATACAGAGACACACACGCACACAGACTCACAGAGTGACACACTCACATACACACACACACTCATACACACACACTAACAGACTGCATTGAATAAATAAATTACACAATGATCATTTCACCTATTACAAGTTGATCTGCACTGATCATGAGGAATTATAAGTAGCTACCGACTATGGAACAATGTCTCTCTGTCAAGCTCTCTGTCTCTGGCTGGCGAGATCTATAAACAGT